CAAGTATTTGTAATTATATTCGTTGCTGTTTTCTGTAGTGCTATTTATTGTGAATTAATTCTAATTCTAATTTTAGCGGACTGTTGCCAATCATGTATGGCACGCATACCCTATGCAACGCTAATAGCGACGCTTATGTGTCTGCTGGGCGTTGGCATCTTCTGTGGCACAATGTATCGAGGAGCCTCACTAACAGTYATTATGATGGATCAAGTTTTTCACCTCCGATTAATATGGTAARCTATTTAATGATGTTTTATACTGTGATAACTRTGGCTTATATTCTACTCATATACTTATATTTCAGGATCGAGGCTGTGCAGATGATATTTGTCATAATTGCTGCTGGCATGGCTGCTCTCGGCTTCATGATATTGTTTGTGGGCTTTCTGGCAACGGGTGCGACACGCTATAAGGTTTACCGCGCGTGGCGATCACGCGTCGGCGGTCGCATCTCCTGTGCAGTGCTCATGGGCATTACGTATCTGCTTAACTTCGTGTGGACGCTCATTTTATGCTTCTTGGTTATAGTGACGTTCATTTACACCATGTTCTGGAATATGTGTGCGAGTGTTGAGCATTCGCTGAGCTGTATTGATTTGACACAATTCCGTAAGACGACAATTCAAAAGAGATTTTGACTAAATTTACTAAAGAATAATAAAATTACTTTACTTGCAGATTTCATGTTTCCGCCAAATACGAAGCTTGAAGACATGAAGGTGTGTGAGAAGTATGAGATCAAAGCGTTTTGCAAAGATGGTGTTGAGAACGCTGAGGTCATGTTCATTTTGGCCACGCTGTCTACACTTTTGGTTATTCTCAGTCTGGTGCACTATTTGATGTGCCTTTCGGCCAATTATGCGCACATTCGTGACCATGAAAAGTTCCAAGAACTGCAGGAGATACAAAATCTCAACGAACTGGAATATAGCGCAACATCGAARGATCGCTTCTAGGATTTATTTAAAACTATTTGATTCGAGCTTCATCAAAGAGGCACAAAGACACAGAAATGCAACGAAATTCATCTATAGCTTTAGGAGTTTTGTTTTTATTCGAAAATTGATTATTCTGTTTCGTTCTATAAGATATTATTGGTTAATTTATTATTCTATATATTATAATATAAATTTAGGCTAATAACGCCCATCACAGACACAAATTTACACAATTTAAGGACTGTATTTATATATACATCTATATCACATCACAATATATAACTTATATAACTTCTCCGGCCCACCACTGCGAAACATTCCAATAGAAGTTTTAAACTTATCTAATGTTCAAATGTTCTTACTATGAACGATAGAATATTTTTCCGTCCACAAATGTTTATTTTTAATTGGCTAAGCTCACCCTAATTCAAAATCTAAACTTTATGTTATTTAGCTTGATGTTTTCTTACGCCAGTTTGTGTTTTTTTGGTTTAAAATTATATAGCTCACATAAGGTCAATCAAATATATGCAAATGCTTAAGTGCGCATGCTTATTCATATTATATATATAAATTTATATAATTACGCATTAATTATATAATAATATTCATATGTATATAATTACATACAAATAAAATTTTTGTAATAATTTGCCTTTTTACTTCTGCAAAATTTATTAAAATAAATATTGTGGGCCTGGTTTAAAACGTAACGGCAAAACTGCGGTCCGATTACATTTGTTTTTCTATCTATCTATAGATTAGTTAATTACATGTTCATAAAAAATATAGATGAAATTTAACTGCTAGCCATATGGTTAGTGATTTAATGTTAGAGTGTTTATTTTAAATATGTTTCTTTCCATTTTCGATTAATAATATACACCAATAACTTTTCAGAATATTGCGATGAATCGATAGCAATCGATTGCCAGCTAGTTATTTCGTAAGATATTAATAACAAATGCGAATATATTAAAAAATTATACTTTTATTGCGAGAATGTTGCGGAAACTGAATACTCCAACGACTACTTTGGTGGTTAGTATTAGTATTCGAAAAGTCCATTGAAGTGAAGATTAATCTTTGGTTTATTTTGCAGCGAGCAGCATCAACACGCGTCGAAAAATTGGAAGAAATTCGTGAACGGTTATCAAAAGGCCCAAATTTTCAAGATTTTATCCAAAATTCTGATGCTGTTAAAGAGGAATGGGAGAATTACGATGGCAAATTGCGTCGGGAAAAGGGAGAAACCCAACAATTGCGCTTGCCTCCATGGCTAAAGACAACAATCCCAATGGGCAAGAATTATGCTAAGATTAAGTCTCAGCTGAGAGACCTCAAACTGTCCACAGTGTGCGAGGAGGCGCGTTGTCCCAACATCGGTGAATGTTGGGGCGGTGGCGAGCATGGCACACAGACGGCGACAATTATGGTAAGTAAAACCTCTGTGACCTTTGCTGGTAGCTAATAACTGATAGCACATATTTTGTTGATTACAGCTYATGGGCGACACTTGCACACGCGGCTGTCGTTTTTGCTCGGTGAAAACAGCTCGAGCGCCTCCGCCTTTGGATGTGAACGAACCGGTGAACACGGCTAAAGCAATTTCATCCTGGGGCCTGGATTATATAGTGTTGACATCTGTGGATCGCGACGGTAAGGCTAAGTTATTTAAGCAATAAGAGGAATATTTAACTAGTGATTGAAACAACTCGCAGATCTTCCTGATGGTGGCTCCAAACATATTGCAGAGACAGTGCGGGAAATAAAAGCGCGGTAAATAGCAATTAAATGCTCACTTTTAATATTCAAATGAGGAACTTGTTCTCTTACAGCAACTCCAATATATTTGTGGAGTGCTTGGTTCCCGACTTTCGTGGAGATTTAGAGTGTGTGAAGACAATTGCAAGTTGCGGTCTCGATGTATACGCACACAATATTGAAACAGTAGAAAAGCTAACGCCATTTGTGCGTGATCGCCGTGCTCATTATAGGCAAACGCTTCAAGTGCTTCGCGAGGCCAAGAACTTTAATCCGAATCTCATCACCAAGAGTTCAATTATGCTGGGCCTAGGCGAAACAGATGCAGAAGTGGAGCAAACGATGCAAGACTTACGAGAGGTTGGCGTTGAATGCCTGACCCTAGGACAGTACATGCAGCCTACAAAGAGACATCTGAAAGTCATCGAGTATGTTACGCCTGAAAAGTTTAAGCATTGGGAACAGCGAGGCAATGAGCTGGGTTTTCTTTATACTGCCAGTGGACCTCTTGTGCGCAGCTCTTACAAGGCTGGCGAGTTCTTYATTACGAGCATCCTAGCAAATCGTAGAAAGTCGGTTTAATTGAATGATACTCAGATTAATTCAAATTTTTGTGTTTGTATATATAAAAATTTGTTAATAGATTGTTAAATATATAGCTTGTTAGAAAGAAATATTCGAATTATAATATTGAATAAAATTGTATATGTATTTATGACCTAGAAATATAAAACAATAAATACATACACCAAAAATATATAAATACATATGTATTCCGTTAGTTTAACAGCACCCTTGGCAACTGCCTGCCCGTGACAGAGTTGTCATCATCACATTAAGCATAGAGACTATTTCGATCAGTCTTGTATTATGTATTATAATTTATTTGTATAAAACCAAATAAAAGTTCCTGACATAGAAAATACTTTGAATGCGATTCAAATTTAATTTAAAATATAGTTTAACAACATTTGTTTCGTAATTGATAGCTTATCATTCCAATAATATTTCAGACAGTATATTAAGAATACTGAATTATTATTTGACCTCAGATTTTATATGGGCACACTTAAGCTACGTTTTTTTTCGTTTTATCTATTGTGTGACCATTTGTCGTTGTTTTTAGTTGAAAGTGCATAAAAGAAGTTCAGCGTAAATTCATAAGGCAATACATACGTTGTAAAATAACTAGTTACTAAACGAAATAAATACTAATGTCTGCACACAGAACGTTGAAAAAGAAATGCAGATATGAAATAAAATAAGCTGTATATGTATGCAGTTTGCTGTATTTATGTGTACGTACATATGCATGCATACATATGTAATCTGAATATGTATGCATGTGTGGCAGTGCGTTTTTGTTTTTACACACTGTGTTGGAGAGTGTGTGCGAGTGAGTGTGTGTGTGTATGTACGACACAAAGAGTAGGAAGTCTACGAATGTTTAACCCATTAATGTTTAACTGTGAATGCAGGAGAAACCAACTGATTAAGTGTAGCTAAAAAGTAAAAATAAATACATACATACATTTATACGAGTGTGTCGTAAATAAATTCAACCAAATATATGTACATAAATACATAATCATATGTATACTACATCAAAGACGACCATGGAAGAGAAACGCAAGTGCGCAAAAGTATTGGTGTTCACCAACAGCAGCTTTGTTTCCACTTTGTTTTTGTTTTGAATGCAATTGTTCCCTTTCTGGCACACTCTTTGGCTATTAGCTCGGTGCTCGGTTCGTTTCTGTCAAAAACCCGATTACGTTCGGGCTTCATTTTGGCTGTGCATACCCGAACCAGTATTATTACAGTAGTAAATGCATTTGAACTCATACATGCAGCAGAAATGCATGGCCCCTATGTATGTATGCATGTATGTATGTGTGTACACCAATTTTCGTACGATTGGGGTACATAATGTGTACATCATTGATGAAGATACATTCACGCACATACATTCGCGTGTGTATACAATAGAAATTTGTTAATGTATATATGCATGGGTGTGCTATTATTTATTAAATATTAAATGTATAAATATTCATATATTTATTTTTAATACTGAAATCTATCGTTGGTTGACAAACGCAGCTGTGAAAGTTATTAGATGCATATGTATTTGTGAATTAAATAAATCAATCGAACTACACTGTTGCCGATCAAATGCAGAGATTAACATCAATTTAATTTGAATAGATTGAAATATGAAAAATATAGATACTATAATCCCTTTTATTGCAAACATGGCAAACAAGAAAGATAAGAAAATCTGGAGTGTGCTGCGTAATAAAATTTATACGCATTTTTTTTTCACAATGGATTCTCAATGATTAGCAAATAATTTCGTGAACTTTTCCGAGTTCTAGAAATTATAAATGTAATTGTATTATATAATATTAATATAATAGATAAACATATGTTCACAATTGCTTCGATTGCAATTACATCGAATTTAATAGTCTTTCTCTTGGCAGTGGATCGGAGCTCACTGTTATCAACGATCCCAAGATCCTCAGTCAGCGTGGCGGGBGATTAACAGATAATAAGTAGGCCGATACGGATTGGACAGTCGACAGGCGAAGTGTGGAAGAGTGGAGTGGTGGCTACTTGTTGCCGTGCGGATCCTAAAAAGTACTCAAAATTGATAGAAAGAACAGAAAGGCTGCTGCAACTGGTGCCTCAGCCGGGGACCAGCCGCCGCGCAAAAAGGGACGTCGCTCAGGTGGATCCAATTCAGTTTCTGTCGTAGACTCGAACGCAGCGTCTACGTCGAGAGCAGCGCTACAGAGCAACAGAAGTGAATCACAGCCACAACAGAGCCGGCAGAGCAAAAGCAATACTGAAGTCAATAGACTGCAATTGAATTCCACAACGTCCCCAACGGACACCTCCAGCACACACAACTGCAACAGCAACAACAATAGCAATACTAACAGTAACAACAGTAGCAGCATAAACGACAACAACGCTTCTGGCATGAACATGCAGAGTACAGCGCCGTTGTCATCCTCCACAGCACAAGGAGTAGCCGGCGGCACCGCAGACAGTGGTTCTAGCACCGCTGTGGAGCAGCCCGCTGGCAGCGACAATGTCACCAACGACACTGGCGCCGGGGGCGACGGGGCAGCCGATGAGGTTGCCCAACCCTCGAGTGGCCATAGCAATAATACGACAAACGGCCATGATGTAAAGCATAATGGCTTCGCAGCAAATAACAATGGCAGCAACAATGTCTGTGCGGTGGACGGTGAGAACAATCGAGAGAATAATAGCAGTGGATACAGTGGCATACATTTGGACAAGTCAAATCAAGAGATAATACGGCTTATTGGCCAATATCTGCAAGACGTCGGCCTTGAGAAGTCGGTGAAGACTTTAATGCAGGAATCCAACTGTTATTTGGAGCACCCGTCGGCCACAAAGTTCAGGGAACATGTTCTTGTTGGTGACTGGAGCAAAGCCGATGCTGATCTTAAGGTAGGATGTTTTAAATAATCCATGTAAGAAGATGTATTGGATCTTTGTACAGATGCGAATGTCTTAGACCTCTGGATTACYTATACTAAATATTCGCTCWTGTCTAATCATCTTTTCTTTTGTTAAGCTGGCCTTCAAGAATTCCCTATGATCTTATTTGCAGGACTTGGAGCCATTGATCGATAATGGAAAATCATCAAC